GCTGATATTTTTTAATTTTTATATGTTCTAGATAGAAGCCCTTTGTCTGAGGGACAGTCAGCTAAAATTTTTTCCCAGTTTGTGGGTTTTCCTTTTACTCTGCTGGTGATTTCTCAATTGTTTTTATGAATTAAATGTACTTCATAGCTACAGGACTGTTCAGGTTATCTACTTCATCTTTGATGAATTTTCATAACATGTAGTTTGTGATGAATTGACCTATTGCATCTCAATTGCTGAAAAGAGGTGTTTGTAGCATTCCTTTATTGTCCTTTAGGGTGTGGGCTACTTGTAGTGATAAATCCTTCTTTCCTCTGATATTGACAATTTATATCTTCTTTTAGTAATTGTCCACTTTGCTGGAGGTTTGCTGATATTACTGACCCTTTAAGAGTAAGTATTTTTTAAGAAATAGTTTTTCATTTCATTGATTTTGTTTTTATTTCCAGTTTCATTAATTTCTGATCTTTATTATATCTTTCCTGATGTTTGTGTCAGGTTTGTTTTCTTCTTTTTAGCTTCTTGAGGTAGGAGCTTAGATTATTCATTTGTGACCTTCTTTGTTTTTCTAATGCAATGTTCAGTAAATACATTTCTGCTATAATTAGGATTTTGGATGTTCCCCAAAGCCTTGGTCTCCAGCCTACATTACTGTAGAGCAGGGGAACTTTGAAGATGGGGGGGTGGGAGGTCTTGGGATGGGATATTGGGCCACCACCCCGTCCTTTCTCTCCCTTTACTTCCAAGTCACCGTTGTAACAAATGTAACTTCTGCAACAAACAAAAAGATGTCTTTTTGCACATTTGCATCCATGAAAGGTAAAATTTCTGGAGCTGCTGGTTCTTTTAATGAATGTGACATAAAAGGAGGATTATTGGTTGATCTCAACAAAACATTTTGGTTATCTATCTTGGAGTTTCAGATGACTGCCATTGCAAATATAAAGCTGGCTACATACAATTACTAACCACAATAACCACAATAATATATGTTTGTATATTTCACCTTTTGATCCGTTTCTTTATGAATACAGTTTATCTGCTTGTAGTTGTTATACCTGTGTAACTGTCAGCAGTATACCTGTATAACTGTGTAACTGTCAACATTTGTTTATGCTTGCAAAAAATATATATATTATTGATACAGCTTATATCTAGATGTCCCTCTAAAGCCTTATGTGCTCATAGGCAGGGATTTGGGGAAGTGACTGAGTCATGGATGTGTGATACTGGATTAGTCCACTGATAGGTTATAGCAGGGTGTGATATTGGGAGGTGAAGCCTGTTGGGAACAGGTGGGTCACTATGGGAATGGTCTGGAAGGGTGTGTATATATATTCCACCTCCCTTGATGCTTTGCTGCTTCCTGCTGCCATGGTATGGGCTGTTTCTCCTCTGCCATGCTGCCCTGCTTTGGAGCCAGTGACTATGGACTGAAACCTCTACAGACTGTGAGCTCAAATAAACCTCTCCTCCTTTAATTTGTGGGTGTTAGGTATTTTGTCCCAGCAACAAGAAAGTAACCAAGAAAGTTATTGCCCATTTTATTATGAAAAGTGGCCTATGAAATGTCCTGTGCATTTTTATATGTTTTTCAAATAAATCCTCTTAAAATCTAACTAAATGCCCTTAAAATTATTTCTCCATGACTATATTTTGGGGATTTGGGTCTTTTGGAATTTCCACATTTGAGATAATGGCATTTGGGGCTATTCCTTTGGGGATTATGGCCAAACCCAAGCCACTGGTCTAGAAAGCTACCAAGTGATTATTGACAAAGGTGCGAAGAAAATTCAAAGGAGAAAAGTTGCTTTTCAGCAAGTGATTGGACATCCATATAGAATCTGGACTTCAATTTAAGCCTCCTATCTTTTGCAAAAATTAAATAAACTGCAATGCTAGATCTAAATGTAAAACCTAAAAGCATCTAATTTTTAGATTAAAAAATGGAAGAAATCAGGGGCTGGGGATTTAGCTCAGCGGCAAAAGCACCTGCTTGGCATGCGCAAGGTTGTGAGTTCAGCTCCCGGTACCAGAGAAAAACCAAAAAAAAAAAAAAAAAAAAGGAAGAAATCTTGATTTAGAGTTAGATAAAGAGATTTTAAAGAGAACAAAAAGCCAAGACTAAGAAAATATTTACAAACCACATATCCAGCAAGGCATTCATATCCAAATATGTAAGAAAGAAAACAAACAACTCAATTTTAAAAAGTGAGCAAAAGACCTGAATAGATATCTCATGAAAGAAGATAGAAGGATAGAAAATAAGCACGTGAAAAAAAACATGTTCAACATTCATTAGTGATTAGGGAAACATAAATTAAAACCAGGATGCGCTATCACTATTTACATATTAAAATGGCAAAAATCCCCACAACCCTATACTGACAATCCCAAGTGTTACAAGGCTGTGGAATACCTGGAACTCTCATATACTGGTGAGAATGCAAAATACTACTGTTTCCATGGAAAAGTTTGTTAATGTATTATAACGTTAGATAGATAGTGAACGTATAATGTATAAATCTCATTCCCAAGTATTTGCCTCAGAGCAATGAAAACTCACCTTCACAGAAAAGCTGTACATAAGTGTTTATAGCAGATCTATTTATAATCATCAAAGACTAAAGTTGGGTGAAGTGATGCACACCTGTAATCCCGGCATTTGGGAGGCTGAGGCAGGATTGCTGTGAGATTGAGGCTAACCTGGGTTATATAGTGAGTTCAAGGCCAACCTGAACTACATGATGAGATTCCCATCTAAAAAAAAAATTATATACATATATATATGAAATTACTCAAATATCCTTCATCGAGTGACTAGATACACTAAGCTACGGCCAAGCGATGCAATACTTCTTGAGAACAGAAAGATAAACTATATGAAACAAACAAAACACTTTTGCAGAGTCTCAGAGGCATTATGCTGGGTGTAAAGCATCAATCTCAAAGTCTCAGACTACACGATCCCATTCAAAGGGCATTCTATAAAGGACTGTAGTGTTGGAGACAGATCCAAGAATACCAGTGGTTAGGGTTCTGGGGTGATAGAACTTGTTTTGCATCCTGATTATGAATTATGCAAACCTCCACTTCTGCTACAACTGACAGAATTGTAGACAAAAGTCAACTTTATGGCACATTAACTTTTAAAAAGTAAAATAAACTCTGCCATGTATTCATTTCATGTTTTCATGAAAGTTACAATTTTACTTTCACACAACTATATTAGATGGAGACCAAGATCTTTATTCAGTTCCTGTGGCTAACCCTGGGCACCTGGATGGTGTGACTTGACTGGCTACAGTCCAGATCTTGCCACGTACCCCTCCTCCACATAGCTCATCCCAAACAAATATTTTCAATATATAATCATCACTTTGTTATAATACCTCTGGGGCTAATGCCCAATGTCTTATCTGCCCTTTCCTCTCATCAGACATTTCCTAATCACACGTGTTTCCTGAGGGACTCCCAGGTGGCTCAGCCAGTACAGGGTGGACAGACAGTGAAGCCAGGCGCCCCTCTGAAAGTGGGCAACAGGTCTAAGAATGAGTGAAAGGAGACCCTAAGTTCCAGGGAGGCTGGCCATTTCGGTGGACTCCAAGACCTCACACCCCAGCTCCACTGCATGAAGGGAGAAGTCCCCAGAGCAGAGATGTAGCTCAGTACAAAGGGTCTAGGACAATACCCAGAATAGGGAAGGAGGATGCAGAAAGCACAGGTAGATTCCCCTGTATTCTAAAATTGCGAGGAAGCTTTCTAAATCAGGAGAGTTCAATTCCTATGATTATTCAGAGCCACCTGTGAAACAGAAGTGGGAGCATTTCTCATAGAACACGCTGCATGAAGAAGCAAGAGCTACCTGGCATGTAGGAAATGATATCCAACACACCTCCAGAGGGCAATCCTATTGAGTGATACAAAAGAGATAATTTATTGTGACTCTAGAACCGTAAGTTTCCTGTTGTATGTGTTTTGGTTTTTCTTCAGAGCTCAGACTGGACCCAGGGTTCTGCACATGTTAGGCAAGTGGTCTTCCACTACGTTACATCTCCAGTCCAATAGCAGTACCTTCAAATTTTTCTCATGAAGGTTGCCAAGTTGTGTTTATAAGGGCTTCAATAACTAAATATATTTTACTTGTAAATAAATGTGGAACAAACACTTGGAAATTACAAAACTAACTCCTGTAGAAATGAGTCCTCAGAAAGAGCGTTAGTTTAGGACTGAAGACAGCAGAACTTCTACCTTTCCTGCACAGGGGTTAGCGAAACTGCTCCCAGAAATCCTGGATTTGTGTGGGATCCACCTCTCTAAGGATATTTTCCTATGTTCATAGGTAGATGAACAGGAGGGCAAGTAAATAGAATATTTATGCAGCTCCAAATTGTGTTTTGACATTTTCAAAGTTTAATCACTTGCTTCTTTCTGATACTATCACACAGTTAAATACATACATTATAGGGCAAGGCTGATGGGAGAAATACAGCGCATGAACCCAGCCCACTCAGGGTTTTATCTAAAGCAGGAAAATCTTGGTATGCAGAACATAATCAGTACCAGACAGAATTCAATAAATTCCACATAAATGATAAAGATAAGGAATTCAATGTTGAAAGAAATCTATTCCAGTTGGGCATCCTATTCCATCCAATCTATCCCAGAAGCATGAGAAGAGGTTACTGTTCCAAGTAGAGAGAGGATTTGTTCTGGGTAGATTGCGTGTGTGTGTGTGTGTGTGTGTGCGCGCGCGTGCATGTGTGTGTGTCTACTAGGGTGTAAATGCTATGGCAGCAGAGGTTTCTGTTCCCTGCTATATCTCCAACACTGGAGTAATTCCAGGCTCATAGTGGGCACAGAGTATTTATTTATTGAATAAAGAAATAAATTCAAGAGCAAAAGGCAATCAGAGGGCTGGAGATTCAGCTCAGTGGCACAGCGCCTGCCTGGCAAGTGTAAGGTTGTGAGTTCGATTCCTGGTACCAGAAAAAAAAAGACAATCAGATATTTAAATATTATTAAGAGACAATACTTGTTACTGGAAGACTTTTGTGGCTAATCAATGTTTGGGAGAAGGAAAAAACAACAGCTAAGGCATGTGTAGAAAGAGGAAAATTATTTAAAAATACAAATGTTTAGGAGCTCATTATCATGGAGATCAAGATGTGTGAGTAGCAGAAATGTCAATGCATATGTTGTAAATATCTAAGGGACTTAAAAGAATAGCAGACTGGAAGGAAGACATAAAGTAAGAGACAAAAAAACAATCAATCTTTAAGTGTGCATTATAAACTCATGTACTGTGTATTCTGAGAAGAATGGTCTTCATAAAGAAAAGCTTTAGGATGACTATTAGACATGTTGAAGTCTGAGGAAGTCCCAGGCAGGCAAACATGTAACAGGAAATAATCACCTCACCTCTGCGTGTTTCCAACGAGGCCAGGATACCCCTCAAAAGCAAAAATAATAAAACAATGAGCATTCTCTCTAAAACAAGGAGAGTTCATCACCTAAGTTGACAGGTATTTTACCTGATGCACAAGATGGTAATAATATTCATCAGGAAAAAGTGAGAAACCCATACTTTGACTTTCTCTCATTTGCCTTACACCACCTCATAGATAATCTGATTTATTTCCCATCTCTTCTGGCCCTTCCAAACATTCAGCCACTTTGAGGTTCTAGATGTCAAATTCTTTGTCAGTAGTTCTCAATCTTTTAGTTAAAATGAAGCATTCTCAATGACATTACCAGATTAAATATTTTACTCTATTCTCAGGAGCCTGAAGTTCTCAAAGGGTGACAAGAAGGGTTGGTCAACAGGACAACAGGATGAGGGGCATCAGTCCTCCAGCAGACCAAGGGCAGAGAAGGGGAAAAGGATGAAACTGCAACCCACACACGCAGGCCATGGTCCAGGGCTAGGAATATTTCCACACATCATCCCGTTCCCTCTCACCACAGCTCTATGAGATGGGAGCCACCATTTCCATTACACACATAAGAAAAAGAGGGCCTGAATGCAAAGTCTGTGTGCTCTCCCCGATGCCCTCAGGCTTCCTGGATGTTGGGAGACATCTGGATGTATCTTTAAGTGAAGAAGGAGCTGCAAAAATATGCAGAGTTGAGTTGAGTCAGTTTGAAGCAGAAATAATAACCATTTGTTATATTTATTCCCCCAGGCATACTGCAAGGAAGTCAAACATCTAGACCTTTCAATAAGCAACATTCAATAATTTGTGAATATTTAATCAATAAATATTTCCTTACTGCCCGGAATGTGCCTGATACTATTCTAAGTCCTATGAATACAAGGATGAGAAAGGTGTGGTCTCGGGATCAAGCAGCCCCTTGCGTAGCAAGAAAGACCAATAAATAAGTCAACACCAGTCAGCGCAGGTTGCGTAGAAGAGAGAATCAATTCACAAAGGAGTTTCAGTTATGCAGATGAGATCTAATGTTCTGCAAGATGACATGATAATGATGCTGTACTCTACGAAAATTTTCTAAAGGTAATATTTAGGTGTCCTCACCACTGAACAAAAACTAAAAAATGTAACTCTGTGAGGTGGTGGCTGTTTATCAGCTTGATTTTGAACAATTCACAATGTCTACCTAAACATCATACTGTGTACTATAAATATGCATGATTTTATAACTGCTCAGCAATACATCAAGAAAGGTAGAAAATAAAGATTTAAAGATCCATATTCACAAATGAGTGGATAAGAAGTAAATTTTTAACCTGATTGGGAAAGGCTTTGCAAAAGCAAAATAATGAACAAAGGAAGAAGAGGAGTCGGCACCTACACAAGGAAGGGAAAGCTACTCCAGGGATCACCGGCGGAGTCTGGGCTTCATTTGGACAATGATATGGAACCATTGTTTTAGGCAGAGTAATATTAAAACCAACAAAACCCTGAAAAACCCTCTACACTTAAATCACTCCAAATGCTCTTAGTTCCTGAACTCTAAACTGAAGCTACTTCATTCTCTTTTAGCCACTTGTTCTAAACGGAACCCGGTTCACCTGCTCTCAGTTACTACCATTCAACTGACTTTAAAAACCACCAGTGTTCGAGGTATAGATAACACCTGTGGTGTGTGAGTCACCACAGGAACAGCTGATGAGGTTGGCTTGCACAGGCATAGGCTACCAGCACTGCCTAAACTCCAGTCACCTTTCTCCCCGCCTCAGCCCATAAATCTCTCCCAAACCTAGCCTTGGAAGGGTGGGTTTGAGACTTGTTTTCTTGTTCCCATGCTTGAACACCTTTGGTGGAAGGAGACTTTTGCTTGTAAAACCTGGTCATTTCCATCATTGGTGTTAGTGAGTACCTGGCAGAACAGGCCAGGTGCACTAATACTGTGAGCAGAGTTTCATCTCAAGGGGGTAGCTCGAGGGTGGGGTGATCACGAATGGATTTACGGAAAGCTATGTAAGAAGGCAGGAAGAGTAGCAGACTGCCTACTATGCACAAGGCCTTGGCTTTGTTCCCAATACTGCAAGAAAAGAGGGGCAGGAGGTCTTACAAGGAGGAGATTACATGAACGGGGTCTAATATGAAGATCTGAGCTGGGGAAGTTACAATGGAAACAGGAAGAAGTCAATTTAAGAGACATTTAAGCCATAGAGTGGTCAGGACTGAGAGATTCATTGAGCACCAGGGCAGGAGGACTTTACAATGGTTCTTTGACCTGGCAATTGCTTGAGAACAGGAGTAACATTAACCAGTAAGGGAACAGACTAGGAGGAAGTTTGGCAGTTGGGAGAAACAATGAGTTTGGGATACACTGAAACTGAGCTTCCTGTAGCAGTGATCAGAATTAAGGGCCAAAGAGTCTGGTGACTGAACATCAGAGCAAACCTCAGCCTACACCTTACGAGATAAGGTCAAGGTGTAGGGCAAGGTTGCATACAGAGCAGATGTTTGCATACAGAGCAGATGTTTGGTATATGTACTTCGGTGGCTCTTAAGGGCTTGCATCTACAATAATTAAAGGGTCACTGACTATGGCAGGAGGTCCAAATAGCTTTTCCAAGGATCCAGGAGTGCACTCACAGGAGAAGAGATATGTTTAAAAACAGGTAAACAGGTAGAAGGAAGACTGTTTCAAGTGTACCAGGACCAAAGAGTAATCTAGAGACTTAGAAAGGCCTTGTACCAAAATAAAAAAGGACTGCAGATGCAGCTCAGGGCACAGGCCCTGGGTTCAATCCCCAGTAGTACAAACAAACAAAAACATGAACATTATAATTGTCCCAAGCAAATACACACTGAATCCTGTTCCCCTCTTCTCAGACTCCCAGAACATGGTAATAGAGGAGACAGGACACAGGTGAGGATGGACAAAGCTGTGAAAAGCAGGAGCTGGGGAGGCAGGAACTTGCACTTCAAGGTGATATGCACCCTGGGCTCAGCTTTAGAGACAGACTAGAGCCTGTTGTCACTGTTGTTTTTGAATTAAAGCAACTGTTGGATTTTATAGTTCCTATCAGTGATCAGTGACCTCAATTCTCACCCAGAGTCAGAAGAAAATCTCTGGGTAAATTTTAGAATCAGCAAGGGACACAACTAAAGGCACTTCTAAATTACAGCTCTGGAATCTGGTCTAGTTCAACATAGTTCAGAAGTAAAATCAGGGTGAGAGCCAGGACCTCGCCCATCCTAGGCCCGTGCTCTTCCTCTGAGCTATCTGATGCTGTTAAGGTGGGTTTTAAGTAGGAAGTTTTAGAGGTGGAAGAGGCAGCTCGCACTACAACACTTGCCTAGCAAGCGTGAGGTCCTAGATTCCATCCTCAACACTGCAAAACCAAAAAAGCCACATCTCCTGTTTCACCAACTTTGCTGGGTAATTAAAACTTGGTGTGATTTATAATTAGAACACAACACGCGTTTCCTACCTCGATCCTTTCTCTTTAGTGGCACTTTTGCTAAGAACAGTATTTCGTCCCGAAGTAGGTTCTGATTTCAGTTCTGTGGGCGATCCAAATGCAGTACTAAAACGAGAACTATTTTTTTTTTCGTTTTGTCATTTGAGAAAAACCACAACCAATTCCAATCATATGGGAAACAACAATAGGGTTACATTTGTGAGTCATTTTATAATTTCTAAAGCCCTTCCACTTCCACTAGGATTTAATTCCTTTTGCCACGAGGAAGCAAGGGGCTGGGCATCGCTCCATCTACAGCTAAGGAACCAAATCCGCTCACAGACACCATAGTCATGTGGGCCAATGTCACCGGAGGGCCACAGCAGACAGGAGAACCTGAAATCTATACTTCCCGCCACTTTTCCAGAAATCTTTGCTGCAGCAATTTAAAAAGCAGTTGTATGACTAGACGAAGAATAAGAATCAAGTTGCCAAACTCTAGAACCTAAAAATGTATTCACTTCCAGATTAAGGGGAGAGTTACTTGTATACAGATAGAACATTTTCTTACCTGGTCTTTTCTTTACTTGCTCTTCTTAATGAAGATGAAGAAGAAATACTTCGTCCATAACTGATGTCTGATGATTTATCTTCCGTAGGTTGAGAACTAAAATGTTATAAATTATGCACAAATTAAAACTCACTCATCAATATCGGCTTTGTACTCTAAAACAATTTTCTGCTGAAAGTCATAGTTGGAGCAGAATTTAAATAGTAACATACAATTTTAAAAGCTTAAAGAAGAGGTTAAAGACAAAAGGGGTATTGTCACAAAGCTTTTCACAAGCTAGCACAGGAGATATTTGTACAAAATGTAATATATAGGTATTATAATAGATAAAGAGATATATGTGGTCATTTTCCAGGATATTGAAGCTTTAATTTTTACCCTGACCATTTATTTATTTCAAAGAGAAATGGTGGGTGGTAGTTATACTCCAGCATGTGGTTCTGCAGACGAGTGGACATAATTTATCTCAGTCTGCTCCTTTCTACACTTAGGTTACTCCAAGGTTAGAGTCCTAACTTCAGAAATCTGGAATTTGGTAAGAGAGTCAAAGGGAGAGACAGTGCACATTAGATTTGTGGTGGTGGTTATTCCACTGTTATGGTTATTCCATGTTATGGTTATGATTATTCTATGTCAGGCTAGGAGTTTGTGTACAGTGCATTGCATTTTCACAATGTTGTTAGATACAGGAAAAAAAGATACCCGTTGACAGACAAACAAACAAACAAAACAAAAATACACTTCCCAGCATCTCCTACTCTGCAAAAAACTCACACATCAACAGCTTTGTTGTTGATTAAGAGAACAGCACGTTGATCACCAGGTTCTTGCAAGCAGAGCTCTTTCAGTGGCAAAAGTTTGGTGCCAGGATTTATCTGTAAGATAAGGTAAGGACTGAAAAGTATTTTCTGCATGAGTGCTATTGCTCGAAATGAATTCTGATGCCATATGTTCTTGACAGTTTGAGGAGTCTAATTCACTTACATGCATACAACATACAAATGTAAAATTAGAACCAGGAAAATGAAGTTGTGGACATTCTTGCTTTTCAGCAGAATATAGCCCTCCAGTTCCCCGCAACCTTTATTGCTGTCACCTCACCTGTTTCACGCCGTAGTTATTACCTTTGCTCCTGAAAGTGTTTGCGTTTGCAAGTCTGTCTATGCACCTTAGGGAGGACTTACCATCTGGAAAAGTAAGTAGTGAACCTGATTATTTCAAGTTCTCTGAGGATGAATAAAAATAGGTAGGACAAGTCCTGTCCTGGCAGCTTTACCAGCCTCGCAGAAGAGGGCTAGACTGGGTAACTTCTGAGATCTCACTCCAGTTAAGTGATAGTTAGATCCTTTCCCAGGTAAGACACCTTACATGATGATTTTAGAATAATAAGAAGAGATCCTTTGTAAAATAAGATCAATCCCATCAGTCTTCTGCCCAGACCCTCCCAGTTTCCCACTTGATTCTGATTAAAGGTCTGTGCTTCATTCTTCCCAGGGTCTTCAAGAATCACATGACTGATCAGTTTAGCCTCACCCTGTCCATCAGCTCTGGCTACACTGGCCTTGCTAATCCTCAGAAATGGCCAAGCATGTGTGCTCCTTCTGGCTTTTGCACTGCTGCTTGCCCCTGCCTAGGGAACTCTTCTACATAGCCCCGTGGCTAAGTCACTCACCTCCTCCAAGGCTTTGCTCAGATGTTACCCTCTCCCTGAGGCCACATGACCTCCACGTTTAAAATGGCAAACATCAAACCCAACACTTCCCGGCATTGCGGGGGGGCCCTAACTCGCCTCTGCTCTTCTTCCTTTACACCCCTACATCTCTCATTTCTATCATGTGAAATTATTTAGCACGTTTGTCAGTCTTTGTAGTGATGCGTCAGTTCTTTTGAAATTATTCATCACGGAATGAGCTGGCCTTCTAGGAGGGGTTTCTTGGTGGCTCCTGTGTATGTTACACGGTGCTGCAGGGTACAATATTGGCAGCGGAGGCAGTGAAGTTTTGGGTGAGCTGTTTCTCATTATTCTAAGTCTCTTAAATTCTCTGCTACTGTGATCTTCTCCTTCCTGCAAGTACAGCTCAGCTTCAGGACTCTTTCATGGCCCTGTCTATCCTGCCTCTTTCAACAAAATCAGTCCAACGGAGTTTCTGCCAGGCCCAGCCCAGTCTTGAGTTTTATACCTGCCTGGCCAACAATGCATTCAACTTTTGCTCTTTTGAGTTCTCTTGCCTCAGAAAGTATATGGTGGATAGTGCTTTCTAAGATCTGCCACGACTACTTCTGTTCTGATTATTTTTCTTCTTCTCCTTTTTCCTCCTGCAGTTTCTGCCTAATTATAAGGGCTTTTGGCAATCTTTCAAAACTTTCTGAAGTCTCAAAATCATACCTGTTTCTCAATTTTTCCCAAAATGGGAGTTTTGGGGTTTTAAAGTTTTCCTCATGACTGCCATTGCTTTTGGTTTCCAAAAGAAGGAGAAAATGTGGATTTAAGCAGCCATGTCAAAAAGTCCTTAAAATTTTAATTTTTTTCTTCCTGTTTCTCTTACCAATAACAGTGAGTTACATTATATGTTAAAATCAAAATCCTAAAGGCAGTTAAATAAAATAATATTTTTCTGCAATTAAATTTTAAAATCTAGTATTAGAACTGGGTTAATTTCAATTAGATCATAATTAATGAAAAATTTATCACTAACACTAAGCCCTAGAAGTAATATAATGTACTATTTACAAAATAAAGTTGAAATTGAAATTGCTCCAAATTTAAAGTGCTCCTTTTATATCTTATTTGAAGCTGGGGACTGGCATGAGGAAGATGATTTAACTACAAATGAATAGATTCCAGTGAAAATTGTACAAAAATGCAAAATCTTATAACCAGACAAAGTTAAGGATAAAGTGCTGATTTTCAAATTTCTTTCTGTACAAGTATAAATTGTGCAGTCTGTATAAAATGGCAATGTAATGGCATCATGATTAAAGGAAAAATTATCATATATAGACTAAAATACTAATAAGTACAACCACTTACCCGACCATAATCATAGAATCCATCACTAATTATGTTACTTGATGACAAATAGCCAGTCTGGCTGTATTTCAGGGGAAGGTTGTTGTTGAGCAATTTGTTATAAGCTGCCTCACTGAATTTATTTTTTCGACTTACTGATAGATTAATTTCCTCAAGGATATCCAAAGCCCTGTCAATAAAAGCAAAAAAGCCTTGTTTGTTTTCCGCAAGCAATCCAACATTGAGTTCCCATTTATATACTTAAGACCTTAAATGAAGAATTGACCTGGGAAGCCTAACACCTCCCCCAGCCTTCTAGGTAAAGTAATACTGATAGAATTGTGAAGACAAATCAGCCCTTGGTGAGAACATATGTGCCTCATAGTAACTCATATTCAAACAGTTGTGAAGGAAACTGCTATGCTTTGGAAAAGGTCTTCCAAAGGCCCATGTGTTGAAAAATTGATTGCCAACCTCTGGCACTATTGGAAGGTGGTAGAACCTTTAAGAGTGGGCCTACCAAGAGGAACTAGGGTCACTGGGGGTGCACTCTTGACTGGATATTGAGACCCTGCCCTTTCCTCTCTCTGTGTGTCCTGACTTCTATGAGATAAGCAGGGCTTCCTTTGCCATTTGGTCCCTGCGACAATGTACTGCCTCACCATGACTGGAAAAGCAGTGGGGTTGGCTACCTGACCATGGACTGAAACCTCCAAAACTGTGAGCCAAATAAATTTTTTTCTCTTTGTAAGCTGACTGACCTCAGTTATTTGATATAGCAATGGAAAGATGACCAAGCAGACACTTTTAGAAAAATTCATTATATTGGATTGGACCCTAACTTTTTTGGCTAACTAGTATATATTCATGGAGTAAACCTACATATGGGTACCAAAGGCAAACAAAATAAAACCCCACTTGATACTAAAGTAAGGTTAGCGAAGTTCATTTGTTGTTTGTAAGGAGAAAAGATTGGGGGAAGGAGATTACATACAGAATCCTGCTGAAAAGGTATAGATGGGTAAGGAGGGAAAAATCCAGATGATATTCATGACTTGCTTGTGAAGTGGAGAGATAGATAGGTCTGTGTTCGACAATGGTAGAGAAAATTCAAAAGGAAACATTTATCGAGATGAAGCAATGGAAAGAGATATATGAAAGATGACTGTGTGAAGAGCAGCTGGGGACCCTTGGTGGGGGAGTGGGTGAAGGATCCCCCTGCCTCTAGGTGGTTTCCCCAAAAGTGAAGGCCCATGCTGTGGATCAGCTCAGCTCCTGAGCACTCTGCCCCCTTGGGAGTGCAGTATACACTCTCCATCTTCGGCTCTTCATCTGAGCTGGGGATGGCATCCACTCACCCGAGCCTGGACAGCTCAGCGGCTGTCAGCTCATCGTTGGCACAGACCATCACGGCCTGGCTGGCGTGCCTTCTGACTTCATCATTCTTGGAGTGCAGCAGCTCCACCAGGGGCTCCAGCCCACCTCGATTTCTTAGCTAGAAGGGGTCACCAACATTTCATATATTGAAAGTAGGGCAGAAACATTTATGCTTTAAAAAAATCTCATTAGATGAAAGGTCAAAACTATGTGAAAATCTTTTAGAATGTGTCCATATTTAGATTTATTAAGTTCAGTAGAAAAAATCTAGTGCACACTTTGAAAGACAGGAGCCAAGTTTTCCATGACAGGAGGCTCCAGTAAAGTCATAGCGGGAATTCATCAAGATTTCGGGAGAGGGGTTGGGGCTGGGAAGGAGCCTGTCTTCTCATTATCTACACAGGGCATGCTCTGTCTAATGTACTCTGCTTCTGAAGGTTTATTTGGTTCTCAGGGAGACCAAATAACAACCCCCCAAAGAGGTCTTTTCTGCTGTAAGGGTATATTCACAGGAGGCTAAATTAAGGATTTTGAGATTGGGAGATTTTTCTTGATTATCTAGTGGATAGTAGAATATAATGACAAGATCCTTATGAAAGCAAGACAGCAGTGCCAGAAGCACAAAAAGGAGATGTGATGGAAGTGGATATTGGAGTGATATGCTCTCAAGACAGAAAGAGGGATCCTGAGCCAAAGACTGGATATCAATCTTCTAGGAGCTGCAAAAACAAAGAAATGGATTTTTTTTGAAAGCCTCCAGAGGGAACACAGCCCTGTTGACACTTTGAGTTCTTAAACCACCCTCCCTTTTCTTCAGATTTTTGACCTCTCAAACTGTGAGCTAATAGATTTTTATTGTTATAAGCCACCAAGTGGTAGTACTTTGTTACAGCAGCAATAGGAAACTAGTAAATCCTCCAGCTAGAGTAGGAGAAATCAGTACAGGCAAGCACCACCCACATCTCTGCACACCAGGTCAGAAGGACAGTCAAAGCAATACTGAGGCAATTCTCTAAAAAAAGGTCCATTTTTAGCTAACCTTCTAGTGTCTTTTTGTTTCTTCCAGAACTAGGGAAGAAAAATAAACAAGAAAAGGACTGGATGAGACTATATTAATTACATTATGAAAAGAAATTACTCATGTACAAATTATTCCAAACAGAAAAAAATCTGACAGAGCACTTGTTTCACATCTGAAATGCAATGCTGTATAATTTGAGCTGGATGATAAAAAATATTCTACCAAACATTAGAATCAAAGATAGCACCCAAAGTCAAGACCCTTATAGACAATGTTTCACCCGCAGTCATTCATCTCAGCGCAGGGACCCTGGCCTGGCTCACATGTTAGCTCATGTAACTTGGGCAGCTCAGAAAAGTTCACTCACCACCCCATGCTTGGCCAAACTGCCAGACATCTTTATTTCTGCGTGTAGTACAAGACAGTAACCTAATTACATGTGTTCCTTTTGAGAAAGATCTAGTTAGTTCATTAATTCCTCCACATTCCCTTGTTCATTTAACAAGTATTAAGTGCACATTATGAACCATGTATATATTAAAGACATGGGCATAGAGAAGAAAACTCTCAGTTCCTCTCCCTAAAGTCTCAAGCAGCTTTTAGTTCTTAATACAAGAACAGTAAAATGTGTAAAACAAAACAAAAAAAAGCCAAGGCAGTAATGTCCCTGGAGTGCTGGAGTGCAGAGGATGCAGTCAAGCTCGAGGACCAAAAGAGGCCTCATGGGACACACGAGGTTGCCTATTTTTAAAAATTTGAGCATTTTGAGGGTCAAGCCCAGGGTCTCATGCAGAATAGGCAAGTAGTGTACCACTGAGCTACATCCTCAGCCCCTGAGCTGGGTTTTTGAAAGACAAAGAGGACTGTATGGTGGATGAAAGGTAGACTGGCTTTCCATGCAGAGAAATTGAGGAGGTATAAATGGGAGGATGGCACACTGTGATGGCAATACAGAGTGTGGCATTGTGGGATGTGGAGCTCCCCCTGCAAAGAGCTGGAGCTTGGGCTGTTTAAGGAGGCAGGTATAGATCAATAAGGACCTTTGCCCACGGCGCTAGTAGCCTAACTCTTACCTTATGGCAAGGGCAAGCCATTGGGGACTTGCAGTGGTATAATGAGGGTCACACATTTGAAAGATCAATCTGGAAGCAGTATGGGGAGAGAAAGCGGAGTCTTCTGCAATACTCCAAGAACTAGACAGACCTCTGCAAGATCATGGAGATTTCACTGTGACACTTTTATTACCACTGCATTCCTGATGGCTAGTATAATTCCTGGCACATAGTATTTGGTAAATGTCTGGTGGTTCTCTTACTTCCTGAATGGGCAAGTATAAATGAACTGAGCCAGTGGGAACAAGGAAAGGAGGTAGAAGAGATATCTAACAGAGAAGATAACAGATTAGATAGGTTGTCTGAGCAGGCAACATAATGCTAAGCTTGGGCTCTGGAATTAGATTGTTCTCATGACCCTGATCTGCCACTTACCAACTCTGCGAACATTATTTCTCCAAACCTTCTTTTCCTCATCTGTAAAATGGGGATTATAAGCATACTTATTTCAAGTGCATCTTCCAAGCATATACACTGTCTAGTACATAGTAGGTGATCAATAAATGTTAAGTTTTGTTACTTTTGTTGGGAGAGAGGAACAGAATCCTAGGCTGTTTGAACTCATGTGATGGTGACAGGTAAATATAAGAAAATCAGGAGAAAAAGGATCTTTGTACATTTATATCAAATTTTAATGAAAGTTTAATAAAATCATTACAAGAACTAAGATGATTTTTAGATAATCAATTTTCCAAGAATTCAATTCTACATTCTGAGCACATAAAATATAAAAGAAGCACAAGAGTATACAGTATAAGGAATTGCAGTAAAAGACACACCTGTTTGTCTACTGCTCAGCTTAAGAAATAGTGCATTTATATGACTTTCAATTTTTGAGTTCTCCCAACTTCAGTCATTCTCTTATTCTCCTCAGGCACCCACTTTCTTGTATTTGGGGTTAATTATCACCTTGCTTTTCCTTATAGTTTTAACTTATATGTATGTATGCCTAAATGACACACAGCTTGGATTTGCATACTGTTTACATTATATAAATGAACCACAAATACATATTCTTCTACACCTTGTTTTAACTCAGCATGATGCTTGTGAAATTCATCCCCGCTCTCTGGAGCTGCAGTTCATTCATTTCCACTGACATGAGACTCCATTTTAGGAATACACCATTATTTATCTATAAAGAGTTGGCCAGCTCTTTATTTCTAGTTAGGTATCATAAACAATGTTTCCTGGTGCTCAGGAGTGACAGATTCTCTTAGGTATATAAATACAAAGAACAGAATCGCTGGGTTGCTAGGGTATTCTCTCCATCTTTGCTTTAACAAACACTAGCTTGTTTTCCAAAATATTGTCACAATTCTGTCAGACTTAAATGGCAGGTAGGTTCAAATATTTGAAAATATTTCAAATTAATAAACCGGTAGGTCCTGCCCAGGAGGGAACAGTTGCCCAGGAAACTCACCTCTGTGCGAGCCTCCACGTCACAGGCCGTGGCAGCCACGGCAAGGGCTGCCTTGCTCTGCACGAGGGTGTTGGTTGAGCCCAGCGGGCCGATGAGAGCCTGCATGAGGTCATGGCTCTGCATGGCCCCGCGCAGGGGCTCTTGCAGCGCCAAGTTGGTTAGTACGGTGGCCGCGTTGGCCACGGCTCCATCTCGTTTACTGGACAGGGTGTTTATTAACGGTTCGATGCCTTCGGCTTCAGCAGTGGCACTGAGAACAGCATAAAAAAAAAAAAAAAAAAAGAGAGATCAGGTGGTTCACTGGAGGTCAAGAAATTCCCCTCGGAGCACACAAATGAGTTTATACAACAAAAAAGAAAAAAGCACAGAAATAAGGTTTTTAGAAACTGATTGTCATGCCATGCACCCAGAAGCGGGCACTAGTGATTTAAATGGAATCTGGGAACTTTTCGGGTGTGAATGAATTGACATAATCTCCTTTGCTACTTCAACCGCTTTTAGTTATAGAAAAAAGATGACAACTACTGTTTTAGAAACTCTATCAAAACTGTTAATTATTTTATTTTACTTTATCTCATTTTATTTTATTTTATGATTCTGGGGATTGAACCCAGGGCTTTGAACTAAGCTACAACCCCAACCCTTTTTTGAATTTTGAGATGAGGTCTGACAAAATCGCCAGGTTGGACTCAGATTCGCAGATCTCATGCCTCAGCCTCCTAAAATGCTAGTATTTTTGTTAAGTTTTTTACTCAGAGATGCTTCGAAGACTGGGAAATCCTATTCAAAGAAAGTCTATTACACTATTCTTGTTAGGAAAATAAAACCTTAATCAGAAATAAACAAACAAGGAAATTCCTGTTTTAAGTTAAAATTCTCTGGCTTCTGTTCCTTTTTCTTAAAATTGAGGGTGTTAATTATAGGCAGAGGCTACCATGGTTGAAACTAGCAATTTATTTTGCATGTAAATTTTGCTTTTACAGATTAAACAAAGACCAAACTCATGATACCGATATAAATAGATAACTTTAATAATGTATGTATATTCAGTTTTTAAATTCCCTATATCTAGTATAAAAGACTATAGAATCTATTAGTATCTTAATATTTTTTCACAATTAGAAAGTGTACATGTTATTTTAAGTTTGCATTATTTTAGTATGCAAAGACCATTAAGTATGGTCTTTGCTTTTACTCACTTTAAAAGCTCATAAACTAGTAAAGATAAAAATTAGAGTCTTTTAATGAGTGAGAAATGTTTGAATTAGGTTTAATATTTTTAATTACTTTAAATAGATGATGTTCAAACAATAAAATATATAGCGCATTCTCCTGTTAAAGTAAGACCCAAAACCATATGTCAAAAACCCATTTAAAGCTAAAGGTGGTAGTGCATGCTTGTAACCCCAGCACTCAGGAGGCTGAGGCAAGAAGACTACCACAAGTTCATTGAAAACTGCTCCTATTTTTGCTCACATATTTTTTTACAGTTGGAACATTGAATATTTTTTAAATGCCAGTAGGATTTGGGGTATGTGGCTTCTGGGGATTGAATGCAGAGCCTAGCATACACTAAGTACACAGTTTACTGCTGATCAACATCCTCAGCCACCGGAAGTCAGAATTCTACATATTCTCTAACTTATATATACTTAAATCTTTTTAAAAATCATTTTGTTCCTGTGGTTTATTTTTCAGGTACTTAATGCAGTCAGTTCCTTCAATCAAGTACCTTATATCTTTTAATCACCACAAACACGCTTTGCCCAAAATGCATGATTCCTTGGTCAAGTAATCATAGTTTTTTTGCCCCTTTGACAATGTTCATTTTTTTAGAGCATTTTGAAGAGTTAGGAAAGAGCAGCAACTGAGGTATGTTTATGACATCCATGATAGAATCCAGAAGTGTTTTAATTAAATGATACCAGGAAATTCTCAAAAGCTTTGTCTTTTAACTGCATGAGGGAATTTTTGGAAAGGAGTAAATAGGATCATACACCATTGTTTTAGTTTCTCCTATACTAAGACATACTGGGTCTAGATGCCGGAATTTCTATCAGGTGCTCCTGAGCTCTGAATCTTTCTGCTCTGATTTAGCTTCTTTCTCCTGTTTAAAGGCTTTCTGTGCACTGGTCCACACATCTGGTTTTTTCTTTGCTCTTTATGGAGACAGTAAAGGGAAGTAGATAAAAATCTAGTTGTTTAAAATGCCAAAGATTCTAGCACATGGTGGAAGATACTTCATTGGTTGATATCACATTGAGCATAACGCTGGCACAGAAAAACAAATCACACATGCACATCAGGGAAGAAGAATGTACACTATAAATATATATCTGTCCTTAGTTTGCTGTGTGCATCTCTTTTTTTTTTTTTTTTTTTGGTGCCGGAAATCAAACTCAAGACCTAGCATTTGTCAGACAAGTGCTGTGCCACTGAGCTGTATCCCCAGCACATCTCTTTAAGTGTAAAAAGAACAACTGAAATTATTATAGTGGAAAATCAAACTATTATTCTTAAGAAACTAAGTTCATTTCCAGGAATACAGTGCAGAATACATATTTTTGAAAGAAAGAATTGCATTAATTTTGTTTCTTTCAAACCCAAAATATTTGATTTTTCCCTGCCTCTAACAAGGGCACACGGGCATAGGCAAAAATGTCATCCTCAATCCAGTGTGGGGATTGAACCCAGGGCCTTAGCACTGAGATCCCAGCCCTTTAAAAAGTATAGTTTCTGAAATTTTGGGATAAGATGCCACTAATTTTAAGATCATCCAGGGTGCCCAGGGTGGCTCAAACTTGTGAGCCTCCTGCCTCCACCACCCAGAGTGCTGAGATTGCAGCGATGTGCCACCACAGCCAGCTGAAGCCTGTCATATTTTTGAAACACATTATAATTTTCCAAATAGCATAGCATTATCCAAATGAAGGGGACAGAAGTCAAAATGCTTTGTTATAAAATTTAGAATTATAGGCTATATGCTGTCACAATAATTTAAAAATATTTTCTGATATTTACTGTCATTAGCTTTCTCTACTTGGAGTTGTATCAAGTAAGAGTTTCAAATGTAAACTGAAAGAAACAAACTAAAAAACATTTGTCTTATCCCAGGATAACTTGGTGACGTTTAACATCACATGACTCTGATCTATTATCAGGTCCTGAGTATTTCCTGCCCCTCTGTTATTTCTCAGCTCTCTTCCTTATAGACAAATCTAACATCTTGTCTGGTAGGTTGATATAAATACAGGCAGTCCCTGACTTATGATTTATGAGTTGTCAACTTTACAATGGTACGAAGCTAATGCACACAAGATAGAAATCATAGTTCAGATTTTGAATGTGAATCTTTTCCTGGCTAGTGATACCCCATAAAAACTCTGTCACCTTGCTGAGCACAGAATAGCCCTCAGCTCCTCTCCAAGCAAGTGAACAGGAGGGTAAATACCCGATACCTGATGTCTAATCTATGATGCTTGGTAAGTTAGGTGTAGTCAATGCACTTTGGACATAGGATATTTTTAACTTATGATGGATTTATTAAGACATAAACTTACTGTATATTGAAGGGCATCTTTAATCTACAGATACATCTTCTTCCCCTCCAATCCTTTCTCTAGCTTACACTTTATGTGATCTTTTAAAATTATAAATGTAAATATATTGTTTCCCTACTTAAAACCTTCATGGTTTCCCATTGCTCAGAATAAAGCCCCTAGATTCACCCCAGCCCTACAGGTACTGTATTAGCAAGCCTGCCTCCCTCCCGAGCACCCGGCATCCTCCTGCCTCTTCCTGGCTCTGCTTTGGGCAGCAGTCAACCTTCACTTTTCCAGGCTCTCTTACCTCAGTGTACCCCCATATGCTCTGCACTTCCTGATATCCCCCATCCCTGGGATAATGCTCATTCATATTTCATAGTTCTGCTCAAATGTCTTCTCTTCCAGGAAGCATTTCTGGATCCCCAAACTATGAGATGTGATTGGAAAATATGGCAAACACTTGCATTTTAAAACATTTGTTACAGTAAAATGCATATTGCCATTCATCCCTCTCAAAATACTTGCCCCTCATTTAGAACAGTTATCCCATCTTGCTTGCACTTTCTGAAGCAGTTCTGGAAGTCCTCTTTCGTGAGTATCTTTAGTAGCACTGTCAATATCTGCCTTAATGTCCCGAATCTATTCAAACTGATTAACTTGTATAGTCATTTTGACTTTAGGGAAAAGCCACAAGTCACGAGGTGCCACAGCCACACAAGGACTTAGTGTAATGCTTTTACAAGCCTTCCTTTCTGTTGGACGGCACTGGGCAGTAGCATTCACTGTAGTTTTGCTCACATCTTGTTAGCACATGAAAGAAGGCTTCCAGAACTGCTTCAGAAAGTGGCAGAAATGATAGGATAAGTGTGTTCGAAGTGAGGGAGAGTATGTTGAGGGGGAGTAATGGCAGCGTGTCTCTTACTATATTTTTAAACATTCACAATATATTTTGATGATCCCTTGTATGTCTTTTTAAACACAAGTTTAAGAGTCTTTGCTAAATGTCTACATTCCTTCTTAAACGATATTTTGGCACAGATGCTCACTATCAGAGAAATGTAAACATTTTTCAGTATTATTTTACAGCATTCATTATGAGACAGAATTCAGAAGTTTTTCACAAAAGTCCTTAAAACCTATAATGAAAACAGAACATCACTAAGGAGAAACTCAGCTACACAAATGGCGCCAATTGATGGCTTCTTGAAATGCACCGTACTACACCACATTTGTACCTTTACACGAATGTTCTCTGCCTCCCTCACACTTCTCTATCCCCCAACCTCTGCCTGAGGAGCTCTGTGTAGTTTGGTCTTCGATACGTGTTCAGGCATCCCTTCCCCTGCACAGAGGCTCACAATTTCCTTCCTGGTCAATCGCCTGTGCTATGCCTGCACCTGGCATATACTTCTTCGCAGCAACACTTGGGTCTTATCCATAGCTCCAGTTCTGAGAGCACAACAGTTTAATTCAAATCAACACAAGGGGAGGGAAGGAAACCTTTATGTGCCTAGGAGTGAGAGGCCCTTTTGGCACCTCTTGGAACTGGATCTTTGCTGCAGTTTGGCAAGGCTGATTGCATGGATCGGGGGTGACCTTGGGCAGGATGCAAATCTGCTTGACAGAGCCCACATACAGGGTAATATGTGGAACCCAGTGGAACAGATGGTAATACTGGCAATCAGAGCCTTGTTTGTTAACAGTG